CTCCTTCCCCCCCCCCTCCCTCCTGTCCCCCCCACGCCTTTAGCCACCGGGAAGGACAGAAGGGTGGGTCTTCGTGTTCTCCGGGCGTACTTCGCTCCTTGCCTCTGGTGCTGTTGGCTCGCGTCGTTGTTTCCACTGAATTAGGGTGAAATCCGTTCTGTTTGCGATAAGGTTATGGTTTTAGATCGCTTGTCTCCCCTTGGAAGAATGGGTTCGTGTGCTCTACATCACCCGCATCCTGAGCAGCTGCTGCTGGGGATACTGCCCAGCGCGGGCACCCCATGGGCTTGGTGTGACCGCCCCGCTCGTAGGGAAATACCAGCACCACCACCACCCACCTGGGAAACAAGCAAGCGATGTAGCAGTTGGAAACAAAATCCGAACAGAATTTTTCATTTTATTTATTTTTTTATTTCTTACTGCATGCAGTGTGGCGTGCGTAGTGTCATTTTTTCAGTAGTACAAGATGAGGAAAAAAGTGGACTTGGGCAAGAGCACGTTGAAACCCATCATCTTGCTGTTGTATTCCCAATGCAGTAATGAATAGTTGGCAAGGAGATTTTATTATAGGGTATACCGTGTCCTTTTCCTCTTGAAGGAAGGAGGAACAAGTTAGAGGAGGTAGTCTCTGGAGGTTCATGTGATAAAAATACCAAGGAACTTGCAAGCCATGCCACCATAAAGCAGTTATATAGCATCTGAGAGAGGCTTTTTCAGGGAGGGAGTTGAGGCACTGCTGCTGTAAGATTGTGCTCTTGTATGTAGTAGTCTCCCCCCTCTGGCAATGATGTAGCTTTCAGTAAAGATGGTTGTTACTAATTTAAGCTTAAACACATGCATTTGCTGAAATACACCCCTGTTAAATTGCATATGTTCTAGCTGTCCCTAAAGAAAGGCAACTATGGGAAAGATGGAATGGTGGGTCTTGGTGTACATAGGGCTTATTTTGGAGGAGGAAGAGTAATTCATCATCATTCCTTGTTTTGATGGTGAGCCTGTTACTGTTTCAATGTACTGAGCTAGTGTGCTCACATAAATTTTGTTGAGAGGACAGATTTGGTCCTAGTCAAGCTGAATAACAACTGCAATAGTTGTTACAGTGTAAGAGTTCTGCGGGACTAGGTGACTGTCCTTAGCCAGAGATTACTGGGATGCTTCTTCAGAGAAGATTAACTCTATGTTAGAGCAGCAGTCCAGAAGTTGAATTGCTTCCACAGAAATTTTTCTGCATTGCATAGAGTATGTCCCAGTGAGAGGATTAAGTCTCTAAATTAGTGGCTTTCCTAGGTATTTTTTTAATAGGTCATCAGCTATTAAACTAAGTTGCTGTTGAAATAACAGAAACAAGATCTATTGCCTTCTTGCATGTGTGTTCTCTAGAGCTACTTGGCTGAATGTTTATTTGTGGTAAATTGACTTTTTCAATATTAAGAAGGCACTACATTTCAAAAACTTAAGGTTTGAAGACTTAGTTTTCATAGGGTTGGCAAACTTTTTGCACTAGCTGTTTTTTCTCCCTCCCTCTGTTCAGGGGGGTTTCTGCTCTTTTACGGTTAAAAAGATGAAGTGGCAGACTTGACATGGCCTTGCAAAGCTATTTATACATGTAAATCTGAAGATACTAGTAACAATGAAGTTAAGAGCATCCGTGTACTGAGTGGTGCCTTACTATTTTTGTCTTGAGGAGTGTAATTCAGATGTCAGTCTTCCCAGATTCAAGATGTGAACTTTGCTGATAATGCTTCAGAACATCTGCCAAAAGCGGGACTGTTGTGTTCAAATAATGTTATTTTTCAAGCACAAAGCTTTGAAGCAAAATGTATGGATAAAAGGGGAAACTTAAGAAACTGATAGTGTGACTTCTGGACTGTGAGGTAAGAAGGAAAGGAAGTTGGTTTTCATCATCTTAGTTGTTAGATTAATTTTTTGCCCCTGAAACTTCCCACAATTGTTTTCCTTATCTCTGTAACTATCAAAGGTGAATGTGAAAGAAAAATAATGTAATGAGCGTAGCTTTTAAGAGTGCTTGTAAATACATCTTGAGCATGATTTCGTGTTGACAGAACCCAAAATGACTGAGTACTTTTAGTCATCATATTTCCTATTGTTTAGTTGGTTCTGATAATGCTAGCAAAGGGAAGAATTGAAAATGCTACCACATAAAAAAACACCCTGGTAGAAAAACGTCAGTATAAAATCAAATCAAATTTTATGCAGTCATTTTGACTGAGAGCTGGAAATGATGATTTATTTAATCTAGAATTCCTCAGAGAAATATTACCAAAAAAAAAAACCCGTGAGAAAAAACGGTTGTGGAATCTGAAATAACAGCAACTTCTGGTTTTTTGAATAAAAATAAATCTGCTTTAATAAATACTCCTCTTTTTATCAAAGCGAGACTAGCAGGTTCAGCTTACAGGTACGAGTAATTCTTCCACTTCTCAGTTGAGCAGTGCATCATGCAATGAAGTATGTGCTACACTAAATTTGATCATATAAGTTTATCTTTGAACTGGGGGAGATGTGTAACGTCCATAAAGAGTATTATCATAACCTTTAATCTATAAAATAACTTAGCATATGTTGTGGTAAATATTTTTCACCTAGGCTGTATATGAGGACCTGTGTGCTGCTAAATAATGAATTACTTGTAATTTCAGTGCCTCATTAGTTTGCATGAAGTGCTAAGTTTTTTGCAAAGTTTGTTGGAATGTAAACATGATTTAAAAACTAAGCAAAATTGCAGAGTGAGGTGAATAGAAAAAAGTATATGATGCATTTTTCAGGGACTTCACTGAGGAAATATGCTTATTTTTTTCCAATTGGGATCAGTGATTATATTAAGCTTCCCAGACTAGAAACAGAAAGGTTTGTGGGGCATGGTTTTTCATTTCCATTGATTTTTTTTTTTTCCTTAAAACAGCCTGGAGAACAGAATTCCAGACTGTAGAGGAGGGTTTGGATTACAAAGGTATGGCTAAAGACAAGTATATAGTGTACCATATGCAAAAATGGAGTTGCAAGTTAAAAAAAAAAGAAAAAAAGGAGATTCTAAAGTAACTATTGATGGCAACAGTCTATTTGACTAGAAACTTTTTTTTTTAGGATTTTCAGTTCACGTCATGACAAAAATACGAGATCAAGCAAACCAGGTTACTACTTTAGAAATGGGGAAGTGTGGTAGAATGTTTGAAAAGACAACAATGAATTTTTTTCCTCACTGTATATAAAAGACAACGATAGTTTAGAAATCCATGTCTGAATATGTATTTTTTTTTTCTTTGAAAATGGTATGGAGAGAAATACACTTTTAAAATGGCATTAGGTGAGCCAATGAGACAATAGTAAGAGGAGGAGTGGAGTACTGTAGAAGGTATTTAAAAAGTTGGTGATAATGAAATGTTGGTGAACTGTCTAGTAGGTAGGGCAATGTATGAAACTGCTGAGTGAAGAAACAGCAACTGCACTGGTGGAAATAACAGAGTAGTTTCACCTAGAGGGAGAGTTAAACCTGGATTGTTTAATAATTAGCAAAAAAATGAAGCCAGAAGTTTGTCAAGCCTGTACTTCAGGATAACTCAATTTAACATGCCGTCTGCTGTTTTGGAACAGTTCTTAGCTTTGTTTCATTGTGGTAGGTCTGTCATGTTCAAGATCGCTGTTAAACTGTGATGCTCATAAAAATAAAAAATACCAAAGTGTAGCTCCTAATGTTTTAATAAAATATATTGTATAGGCTTATAATTCTTGATTATTTAAATATTAGGCAAGACAGTTTCAATTTATCTGCATGGAAATAGAAGTTTCTCTGAAAGAACTGGGCAGGGTAAAAGCAGGTTATGGTAATAGTACATTTCGGGATGAATGAAAAGTGAGGGTGCCAACTAAGTTTGGCTTCTGTGTGCAAGAACTCCCATACATATGGAAGTGAAGTGTAATGTTATTTAAGTCATTAAGATACAAAAGCTTTGAGTATTATAGAAGAGTTGTGATGGTTGTTTAGCCATTTGTGCTACATAAAGGTTTCTTGATTTAAACAATGGGTTTCTCTCTTGCCTCCTTAAATAACTTAATCTTATGTCATGGAATATGTAGATTGTTTAATATTGAACAAAAGACGGCTCTAGCAGGATTTATTTCTTGTAAGATCACAGAGTCAAGTATCCTGTTTAGAAATATGGTCAAATCTAGGTTCTCTTTCTATAGTAATATTACTCCCAGGATGATATTGGTAAACAAAGGACGGTTCTGTAGCAGTAGAAGCAAAAATATGTTGCCTTTACAGAGCATCTGTTCCACCTAATTATCCTTCAGGTGCTGGTAGTGGAGCTTTTAAGGTATGCAAAACCACAGGTGGAAATGCATCTGCTGGGGAAAGG